GGGGGGGGGGGGGGGGGAGTTATCAAATGCAAGCTTCTGACGGAACGTCACGAGTTTTAGACTTCAAGTCTGGGTGGAGACTATCAAACCCCCTTTGCTAAAATCCTTGGCAGACCCCTTTTCCCCACTTCCGGGGCCTACTCCTACTCCGATCAGGAAATTGCTCTGGGGGTGCTTCCCCTATCGTAAACTGTGGTGTGCTTTTTCAAACCCTAATTAATAATTATTGCAAACTAAAGGGGGTAGTTTCCTTTTTGCAAAAGAAAAAGGGAAAGGAAGTACAACTTCAAAAAGGGAAAAGGCATTTTTATTTTATTTTTTTCGGGGGGGGGGGGGGGGGGGGGAGGGATGGATTATCAAATGCAAGCTTCTGACGGAACGTCACGAGTTTAGACTTAAGTTTAGGGTTTGGAGTACGCTGGACCCGTTTTCAGCAGGTGCTGCTCCCCACCAATAGATGGAGCACCCCCCCAGGTGATAGCGGTGTCTGCTCCTATCAGCACCCCTAGCACAGGAGGGGTCTTCCCCGACAAAAAAAAAGAAAAAAAAAAAGGAAGAAACCTGCAGAAGACTGACAAGTGCAACTTGCTGTTAGAATCTCCAGGGGAATAGAATCCGACTCATGTCCTTCGGGACACCAGTGCATTGGTATCCGACTCATGTCCTTCGGGACATCCATTAAAATTGGAACGATACAGAGAAGATTAGCATGGCCCCTTTCTGCGCAAGGATGACGTGCATAAATCGAGAAATTGTCCAAATGAAAAAGGAAAAAAAAAAAAGAAAAAAAGAAAAAGAAAAAAGAAGAAAGAAAGATAGGAAAAAAAAAAAAGAAAAAAAGAAAAAGAAAAAAGAAGAAAGAAAGATATCCGACTCGTTGAATGATGACACAAAACTCCAAATGGAAGCAGCACTGGGATGAATAACTCGCCGCAAATGATTTCAATATTCGAGCTCAATTGTGGCCATTCATTAGCTTATAATTATCTTTCAGTGGAAAACAAAAAAAAGATTTGCTCAATTTTGCTGTGATCTCTACCTCCTTTCCCTTCTGGAGTGCCAAATGCCACTGCCTACAGCATTCTCTTGCATCCTCCACCTCTCTCTCTCTCTCTCTCTCTCTCTCTCTCTCTCTCTCTCTCTCTCTCTCTCTCTCTCTCTCTCTCTCTCTCTC